TCCAGAAAGCCTCATGCCCACCCTAAGTGAAGGTGGGCCTGAATATTCAAGTGAGGCCTGTTTTCGACATTTTCCATGCATGGGGACTCAGACCGTTGCAGCACACCAGTTGGTTACAGAGCAACGTGAGCCTCCAGACTCTTTCCAGAAGCAAAGGCTGCACTGTACAGTTGAGCCCAGGGCTCAGGTGGTTGTGCCCTGGGCACATGCTGCATGAGGCCAACACATCACGGACTGGCCGCAAGCCAATAAGAAAGCAGCATTGTCGTCACACATGTGCCACAAGCCAATGAGAATGCTGTCAACGCTTGGAGGCTGGGTGGCTGCCTAGACGGGCCTAGCTGCACAAGGCCCAGACCAGTATCCAAAACTGGACCTGGGCGCAGAAACTTGGGGCCAGAGTCAAGCTACTGGGCCCACCAACACACCTGGCCAGGGCAGCCAGCAGCAGGCACACTTCCATAAAGGAAAGTGTGTGCCCCAGGGGTGGGGAATTCGCGCCTGAGCAGGCAACGCTGCTGCATTGTCGTCCGACACTGCGCTATGCAGGCAGGCTGGGGCGCACGCGGGCACTAAGAGGCAAGAGGACGCTTCGGTGACAGTGGGGGCACGGCGGCCATAGCCGGGCGGAACGTGCAGAAGCAGGTGTTGGCGATGGTGGTCTTCGGGTAGGAGGCGCATGCAGAGGGGAACCAAGGGATGACGACGGGAGGAGAGAGAACGTACCTGGTGTATGCTTGTGGTCGGCATTGGAGTTGACGTCACGTACATAGGTCTTCGACTTCGATGTGATCCAGTCGCATGACCGTAGATAGGAGAGATAGGCTGAGTAGAGCAGGCTGGGCGCTGGGTGGCAGACAGTAGGAGCGACATTGGGTACAGTGTTGGTGCGACCAGGGAGCGTTGGCATTGACGCTGGCTTGACGCTGGCTGTGCGCTGGCACTGTGGACGACGACGCAGGACTGAGGCAGCATGCTGTCACTTTCTCTGCTACTCTCTGTGTGGTCATTGATGATTACTCTCTCTTCCACCTAATCTGCCTATCCCCCCTCCACTCACCTCGCCTACTGGAAACGAGACATTGTTTCAGAGATCACAATCATGATTATTGGGAACATTGTGCAGAGTTGAGTTACTTTGTATTTCAAAATCTGATGAGTACCTTACAGACTGGGTTCATTACATCATATTAGAAAAACCCATGGAAGAATATTCTACATTATAGCCTGCAACTAACTCAGCTTCCGCTTCTGGTAAATCAAAAGGAGCACAATTCATTTCCACTAAACTAATAAAAAACAGAATCAATAAAGGAAAAAGGGGAATACCAAACCATACCTGTTTTTGTGCTATGACAATTTCCGTGAAATTACAAGAATCTAAGCAAATTAATACTGTAACAAGGGTACCTGTTGCGGCTTCGCTCGCAAGGGATCGAGGGGGAAATGAGAGAAATGAGTCGGGAATGGTGGGATTGGTGGGTTTTCAGGTGGTGGTCGGGGGTGTTTTTAGACTCATGGTCCCGTGGGGGGTTGTGCCCTAACAGCTATGGCAATGTGTGTGCAGCACCTCCTGCTAGTTGGGGAGGTTCTGCAACAGCTGGCTTTGGAAATTGGCATGCTATGTCTACCCCTACCGTCTTCCACCGACTCTAGACTGGAATCCAGAGGCGTACCTTGGTTGGTATGGCACGCAAGTGGCATTCATGAGGTCTTGGGTTCAATCCCTGTTGGCCTCATGTACCTTCCTCAGCAAGCTTGGCGCCATGCACATAGAGAAAGACCTGAGGGGAGGCACGTCCTTTTTTCCACGAGCTGTGGAGGTGTGGCGGATGAGCGGGGAGAGTGAAGAAGTGGGGGAAGAGGGCGGAGGAGGGCGGAGGAGCAGAGAAGTCGTGAGGGATGAGGCGGGTAGTTAGTTTGGGGTCTCTAACTCTCTCTCTCTCTCTGCTGCACGCTGTTTTTCCATGTTTTTTTTTATAATAAAGCTCTCCCGATGGTCCACGGGTCAGATATCAAACTGATCGGAACAGATACTACACTTGATCCTCATCGTCATCGTCGTTTTGGGGGGCGGGATAGTTAGCTCGTTTGGGATCTGTCTCTCCCTCGCTCTGCTGTGCGCGCACGTGTGTGCACCGTTTTTCAAACTGTTCGGAACAGATACTACACTTGATCGTCACCGTCGTCGTTTTTTTTGGGGGGGACGGTGTAGTTAGTTTGGGGTCCTCTCTCTCTCTCTCTCTCTCTCTCTCTCTCTCTGTGTGTGTGTGTGTGTGTGTGTGTGTGTGTGTTGCTCTGCTGTGCACGCACGCGCGCTGTTTTTCCATGTTTTTTTTTTTTTAAGATCTCCCAATGGTTTACAGGTCAGATATCAAACTGATCGGAACAGATACTACTCTTGATCGTCATCGTCGTTTTGGGAAGCGGGGTAGTTAGTTTGGGGTCTCTCTCTCTCTCTCTCTCTCTCTCTCTCTCTCTCCGTCTTGTGAGAGCACACGTGTGCGCGCCGATTTTCAAACGGATCGCAACAGATACTACACTTGATCCTCATCATCGTTGCCGTTTTGGGGGGCGGGGCAGTTAAGTAGTTTGGGGTGTCTGTCTGTCTGTCTGTCTCTCTCTCTCTCTCTCTCTCTCTCTCTCTCTCTCTCTCCCCCTCCCTCCCTCTTGTGCGTGCGCACGTGCACGCACCGTTTTTCAAATGGATCGGAACAGATACTGCACTTGATCGTCATCGCCGTCGTCGTTTTTGGGGCCGGGGTAGTTAGTTTGGGCTCCCTCTCTCTCTCTCTCTCTCTCTCTCTCTCTCTCTCTCTCTCTCTCTCTCTCTCTCTCTCTCTCTCTCTCTCTCTNCTCTCTCTCTCTCTCTCTCTCTCTCTCTCTCTCTCTCTCTCTCTCTCTCTCTCTCTCTCTCTCTCTCTCTCTCTGTGGTGCACATGCACTTCCGTGCGCCGTCTTTCCGTAATTCTTTTTTTCTGGAAAGAGCTCCCAATGGTCCACGGGTCAGATATCAAACTGATCGGAACAGACAACAATTGATCGTCATCGTCGTCATCGTTTTGGGGGGCAGGGTTGTTAGTTAGGTTGGGGTCTCTCTCTCTCTCTCTCTCTCTCTCTCTCTCTCTCTCTCTCTCTCTCTCTCTCTGTGTGTGTGTGTGTGTGTGTGTGTGTGGTGCGCGTGCACTTCCGCACGCCGTAATTCTTTTTTCTGGAAAGAGCTCCCAATGGTCCACGGGTCATCGTTTTGGGGGGCAGGGTTGTTAGTTAGGTTGGGGTCTCTCTCTCTCTCTCTCTCTCTCTCTCTCTCTCTCTCTCTCTCTCTCTCTCTCTCTCTCTCTCTGTGTGTGTGTGTGTGTGTGTGTGTGTGTGTGGTGCGCGTGCACTTCCGCACGCCGTAATTCTTTTTTCTGGAAAGAGCTCCCAATGGTCCACGGGTCAGATATCAGACTGATCGGAACAGACACTACAATTAATCGTCCTCGTTTTGGGGGGCCGGGTAGTTAGTTAGKTTGGGGTCTCTCTCTCTCTGTGTGTGTGTGTGTGTGTGTGTGTGTGTGTGTGTGTTGCTCTGCTGTGCACGTGCACTCCCGATGATCCACGGTTCAGATATCAAACTGATCGGAACAGACACTACAATTGATCGTCGTCGTCATTTTGGGGGGCAGGGTAGTTAGTTAGGTTGGGGTCTCTGTGTGTGTGTGTGTGTGTGTGTGTGTGTGTGGTGCACGTGCACTTCCACACGCCGTTTTTCCGTAATTCTTTTTTCTGGAAAGAACTCCCAATGGTCCACGGGTCAGATATCAAACTGATCGGAACAGACACTACAATTGATCGTCATCGTTTTGGGGGGCAGGGTAGTTAGTTAGGTTGGGGTCTCTCTCTCTCTCTCTCTCTCTCTCTCTCTCTCTCTCTCTCTCTCTCTCTCTCTCTCTCTCTCTCTCTCTC